TTTTTAGAATTTGGATTCAAAGATAAATGAATGACATTGAGAATCATCATATTTGTATAAGTGAAAAGGTTCCTTTTATTAGTACTTTTATAAACAATCATGATCAATGATGTTTTTGATTTTTGAATGACTAATCAACATTATAAAATTTCTTGATTTTTCTGTGAATAATCAAGATTCTCATATTTCTTGATCTTTATTTCTTAGGGTTAGCAATAAATACCAACGTATTTTTATTGAATTGTTTATTATAGTATATTTACTTCCATTTCCTCATGTATCTCATTGTAATTTGATAAATATGAAAGTATAATGCTATAACTGAGTGTATTTTTTAAAGTACAATGATTTAATATAAAAATAAAAATAAAAGTGCAATTTTGTAAAAATAAATGTACAATGCAATAAAAATATTGAACATATTCAAGCAACATTTGTTTTACATAAATTTTTAGATTTTTAAATTTTAGTGCCTATTTTTTATTAAATTTCGCAGGCCTCCGAAATCTCACGGTCGGCCCTGATTATAAGTTAGTTAATTTTAGAAAAAAAAACTTTTTTAGAAGGTAAATCGTTCGAGATGATATTTAATAAAAAAAATTAATAAATATAAATAGAAAGTTGATGTATAAAATTAATAAGTCTTTATACACAGTTAACATTGCTTTTTCATATTGAATATTAAGTTTATGAAATTTCAAACTTTAAGCAAAAATCCCAACATTATCTAGAGATTTCATCTGATATAATGTATTATTTGAGAAAGAATTAAAAATAATTGAAATGTGAAAGAATGTATATAGATGAAGTGTTTTTAACTTAAGTTTGTAGCATAAATTAGACAACCGACGAGGTTTTTTGTGGTTTGTACTTTTGTAGTATCTTTGCTTTGGTTCCTCCCACAGATCCGTTTCTTGGTTGTTGTCGTTGGCGTTTAGAATTCGTATTCAGTGTGAAAATAAATTTTAAAAAAAAAAAAAAAAATGACAGCTGTGGGATTTGAACCCACGCCCTTTCGGACCAGAGCCTAAATCTGGCGCCTTAGACCACTCGGCCAAACTGTCTTATATGTCAAGAATCGCAAACCAGTAATATGTCTAAAGAATATTCCTTTTTATCCAATCTTTATCAAGTGGTTTTTAACTTACCATCAACTTATTCATTTTATGATGAAATAATTCAAAGGTTTGAAAATTATGATAGGTTTCGGCACATAGCATATACAAATTATGATAATGATTAACAATTAACTCGTATTTGCCTCATGAGAATTTGTTTGGTACAATGTAACAAGTTAAGCATATCATTCAGTATTCTCTATTATATCCACAACTGAATTCGTCTTTACATAACCCACAAGATCATCCTTGTTAGTAGTATTTCACAAACAGCATTAAAAATCTATTGTAATTTATCTCCCTAATAAGAGATGATAAATGGTTACTAGTAAGGTAAACTTTTATTTGAAGATTATATGATGTTTTCTGTCAAAGAGAGGGCATGGTAACTATAACACATTAATACTTGAAAAAACATAAATGGAGTAAATATTAAAATGTACATATTTGTTGGGGTTAAGTTATAAAAAGGGAAAAAAAAATTAAGGAACAAAATAAAGGTTGTTAAACAAACCGAAAGGAAACCGTGTTAATTGTTGATTTATGGATGAAGCTAATCCGTCAAGCGATACTTACATAAAATAGAACTTGTTGGCCATATTCTAATATTCAAATATTCAAAAATTCAAATATAGTTTTACTCAAAATAAAAAATGTAATTTTGATATACATTTTGATTCCTCAAAAGCATATGTTGGGTTTCTCAAAATAGGATACAAATATGTTATTCGAATTCTACAAAATTTATTTATATTTTCTTTTAATTTTAAAGTAGAAGAATTTATGCACTTTGCATGCAATTTCACAATAAAATTAAAATACTGAAAAATAATATAACCCAAGCAATAATTCCATGATGGAAAAACATAAGAAATACCTCCGAAAAATCAATATTATAAAAAATTATAAAACGAAAAACAGAAAATCAAAATGAACACGTAGCTGTGCCTCCGTCTATTTTGTCCCTTCACGTCAGAATCGGTGCCGTGAGAAATTTGAAAATCCTCTACCACACCGGCGACTATGAAGGCTGTAGTGATCACAACTCCGGGAGGTCCAGAAGTTCTGAAGCTGCAAGAAGTAGAAGACCCAAAACTCAAAGACGATGAAGTATTGATCAAAGTGGAAGCCACAGCTCTTAACAGAGCTGATACGCTTCAACGCCAAGGAAAGTACCCTCCGCCAAAAGGAGACAGTGAGTATCCAGGTCTAGAATGTTCCGGAACCATCGAAGCCGTCGGCAAAAACGTATCCCGTTGGAAAGTTGGGGACCAGGTGAGTTAGGGCTCAATCAGTTCTATTCAATCAAGTACAAATTTCGTTATTAGGGTTTAGATTTTGAAGTTAGTGTATATCATATCTGATAATAGGGGAATCTTGAAATTTAGGTATGTGCACTTATAAGTGGTGGAGGATATGCTGAAAAAGTAGCTGTACCTTCCGGTCAAGTTCTTCCGATCCCTTCCGGTGTTTCTTTGAAAGATGCTGCTAGCTTCCCGGAGGTGGCATGCACTGTTTGGTCAACGGTCTTCATGACAAGCAAGCTATCTTCAGGAGAAACATTTCTGGTAATGTCAAATGTTATTTCTTTTTGCTTATGTCCTTGATTCATTGTAATTTAACCACAAATTTTTTGGGCATCTAACCCTAGAATCGGCATTGAAAAAAAGAAAAAACTGTTTTTCTGAGATATTATAAGGTTTTCAGATACATGGTGGTTCAAGTGGCATTGGTACATTTGCTATTCAAATGGCTAAATACCTGGGCATCAAAGTTTTTGTTACTGCAGGTAAACTAAAATTAATCCTGTTTTTCTATAAATGTTGATTCAGATCCATGATTATCTGCAAGCAAAACATACAATAATGTTACTTAACTTTTTCATTTAGGGAGCGAGGAAAAATTGAAGGCATGTAAGGAGCTTGGAGCTGATGTTGGCATAAACTACAAGACGGAAGATTTTGTTGCAAGGGTAAAGGAGGAAACAGGGGGAAAAGGTGATATACCTTTAAATTTTCAATGCTATTGTGACTTGTGATTTTTTTTTGCAAGAATAATGGGATTTTTACATTGTCCAAAATCTTATATTTTTTGCAACAAGTAAAATCAATCTTCCGATCTTGTTCCTCAAGTCTAACTAACAATAGAAGAGTGGAATAATAGGTGTGGATGTTATACTGGATAATATTGGTGGAGCCTACTTCCAGAAAAATCTAGAAAGCTTAGGTATGGATGGCAGGCTTTTCATAATTGGTTTCATGGGTGGAGTCAAAGCAGAAGCAAATATATCATTCCTTCTTGCAAAACGGCTCACTGTACAGGGTAATATATATATATATATATATATATATATATATATATATATATATATATATGCCAAAACAACGTTTCTTGATGCACATGCATTTATTTTTGTCATATTGACATCAATGTGAGTCCCAATTAATCCAGTACAAACGTAAGCATATTTTCTTTTTCTTTGATGCAGGTGCTGGTTTGCGCACAAGAAGCTTGGAAAAGAAGGGTGAAATAGTGAGTGAAGTGGAGAAGAATGTTTGGCCAGCGATTGCACAAGGGAAGGTGAAGCTGGTTGTGTATAAGTACTTTCCTTTATCGGAAGCTGGAGAGGCTCATAAGCTTATGGAAACAAGTACACATATTGGCAAGATACTACTACTTGCATGAGGGGGTTCGACTTGTATGTTTGATGTAGTGTAGTGTACTCTAATAAGAGCATGTGTGTTTACCAATAATATCAAAATCTGTAAAACCGATAACAGCATACTAGCAAGGTACTTACATTAGACCATCTTCAACCCTTAACAGGTTTTTTTTACATCAAATCCATAAAAAATGTATAAAAGACAACCTGGTCATCTCCAACCCACTACACTATACAGGAAAATGCTTTTGTAGGATAATGAACTTTTACTTTTGTACATATTTAGTCATTTTCTTATTTTTGAACACAATTTATCTATAAACTAACGTTTGTTGTTTTAAGAAATATTTGACCGGTTATTATAAGTTTACTTGTTCTACATGTTCAAGAACATCATTAAGCTCACATTTTTGTACAAAATTTACCATTAACCTAACTATTGTACACATTTATCCACTTTTTACTTTTCCTGGCCATCATAAATTTTCTGGTTAATTCCAAAAAAGAACGATAACACCATCTAAAAATTTCATTTCTAAAAACACTACAAAAACAAAACACTCCCATCTTTCTCCAATGAAAATGGCTTCACACACTCCCTTTACTACTGCCAATATTCCTCTTGCCGCTGCTTATACATTTCGTTTCTCCACTCCCTCTCCTGCTATTTTGCGAAAACCACCCTAACCCCACATCCTTCTTTTGCCATTTCTTCTTGAATCGCACATCACCAGTAACCACCTCCGTTCAAGGAGTTTAGATTAGTTTCGTTGTTGTGGTGGTGAATGGTGGATATGGGTGGTTGTAGAGGCAAATGGTGATTATAGATTATAGAAGGCGATGTTTGTTGGTAGGAGTGAATGGATGGTGTTGGCTAGAGAGGATGACAGGGACATAGTTTAATGGTAATCATGTACAAAAAAAAAAGTTAATGATAAATCGTGTAAAAGAAAAACATTAACTTGAAATACCCAGTCAGAATGGTAGTTTTTGAACAACCTGACATTTTTTTACCAATGGTACTTTCAAATGATTAGGTCCCCTAGTAGATGTCTCGCTTTTATGGGATTTGACTTTTGAGGTATATCAGTATATGCGAAATAATGATGGTGAAAAATAAGTTGTACGTTCTTAACTTCCAAGACATGTTTATCATTTAACACATACCACTTGTTACAACATCACAAAACCAAAAATGCAAGCTATAAAAGCGTGTTGATTCAAGCAGTGCACAAAGCTTCAATTGCCAAGGTTTTTGCCACCTCAGGACATAGGTTCCCAAGTATAGCTGTTGAAACAGGAACCCAACATTTTTCCTTCCCGATACAAACCTGCATTGATCATCAACATAAGTTTAATGAAATATTTAAAGTGAAACAAGAGAAAAGAGAAATCACACGGTTTGTATGTTCACATTTGAGAAAAATGTTAGGATTGTGGTACCTGTTCAACAATCGATAAAACGTCAATATGACAACTTCCTTGAGTAAATCCAGCACCACAATCCCCTTTGGGATTCCCAAAGCTAGCGAAACCAACAGATGAAATTTTCCAGCCTTGATCACATGTCAATCGGAGTTGAGGGCTTTGAGAACTGGAATCGGAATTGGGTTTCCAGAGTTCAACCGGAATCGGATCGTCCTCTGAGACATGGCCACACACTTTCTGCCCGGTTCGTGTGAGCACAGAAATTTTGGAAGGGTCGCCACCCAGCTCTTCATGAAGAACAACCAAGTTCTCACCAGGATGCACCCATGTCCGTGGTATATGATATCTACACACATATCATATTATTTGACAATATATTACAAAAAAAAAAAAAGACAATCACCTGTGTAAATATATATTTATAAATTACTTACAAAATTTGGGCTGGTTGACCACATTTCTTCTGACATTTTTGTGCATTATAAGTTCCTCTGTAGTCACAATTATCTGTACAACCTGTTGATGGTGAAAGGTAAGTTGACCAATATCGTCCTATGCTCTGCCCATTCACCCAAGCTTCACCCTTCCCCATGCTTCCAAGGTTCAGTGATAGAGGACCTTTTCCTTCAGGGGCAATGAATGTGGACTGTGAATATATATATATATAATGAGAAAAAAAATAAATTAGAGTCTTGGAAGTAGTAGTGTCTTGTTCTTATTAATGATTGAAGGGTTATGTACCTTATACCAAATGAGACTCTGATTAGTAGGCAATTCAGTGCCATGGGTCCATATGGAACTATTAGCAGCATCTGTTTTATCAAGTCCAAGACTTTCCCCTTCAGTTCCCACCTAAATGCAATCAAAAGTATGCAACAGCTCAAAACTATGACTGAAATGTGAAAGAAACCCTAATAGTCAAAGTTAACAACAAACCTGGTAGGTCCACTCATTAGATGAAATGTCCTGTTTAGCATTCTTGAGATCAGCAAGGGTGACTGAATATAGGCCTGCCCCCATGATATCAAACCATGGACCATAGTTCTGGAGAACAAATATACAAGAATAAGAAAAAATAATGATAAGGCGATTTAAAAAATTATAACTTTGGCCACATATGTGATCCTAATTGACTTGTGTATTGCTTATTTTGATTACATAAATATGAATAGTATTTTAAGTGCACATTCAATAAGATATGGTGTCACCTGTAGACCAATCATCATACTAATAATATCCAAAGTGTTGTTTCCTTGTTCAAGACTAATCTTTCTGCTTATATTGAAGCTTGCATCATCATGATAACCATACCCAAATGCTACATAAGATTTATAAAACAGATAGTGGTCACAAATATGATAAATTCCAGTTGGTAGTGAGCATATTTGAATTGTTTTAAATTATTAACGCTGTCATAACCCTAATCATGTCTATTTCATGTTACCTAAAGCTTTTTTGTTCAGAAAAACCAGAGCAGCATGTCCCAAACTCTGAATGAGCAAAAACGCATCTTTCTTTTCATCTACTTCTATCCTGCAAAAAGGTTTACAGAAATTCATCATATTCTTTTGAAAACCTGAAAGAGAAGCATTTTATTTTGAAATGAATTATTACCTTGTAGTGTACCAAAGAAAATCACTTGTGTCTTTTGTTGTATTAATCTGCTCTACCAAAGTGGTTGCTGTAAACGAGTCATTACTCCAAACACCCACTTTTTCTACATACCAACTCCAACTTGAATTTGACAGTGAAAATTCACTCTCAACAAATGTAGTAGCATCACCAACACTTTTCTGAGCCACAACCTTTTATCCATATTCAACATAACCAACACATATAAATTATATCTTTTATACAACTAAGTAAACAAGAAAACATAGATATAAGGTTACCTTTGCTGTGTTGAAAATAACATTCTTACAATCTGGAAGAATGCTCACAGACCATGCAGGGAGAAAATATGATTTCCCATTGAATGTCACATTTGAATCTAAAGCGCTTCCATAATTTGAAAGAAAAGCTGCACAGTCATCGGGTGTTTTATAGTATACATCCGCCTGGAGAACAAATAGATTGTGTGAAACAGATTTACAATGCTTATTCACTATTATGCATATTGATATGTTTATAAAATACCTCTAAGTTTATACCAAGGGATTGATGAGTTGGATCTGCGTTTACCAAATATTCTTCACATTGCTTTATTGCCATATGTAGGTCCCGCAAGTGACCCCACTTTGGTTGCCTTATGAATCCTGCATAACTTATATCCTTATATAACACTTACTCCATACAACACTCGGTGGATAAAATTTCAGAATATTACCATACTCATCTATTGGGGCATCATAATCATAGCTTGTAGCAACCAGAGGGCCTCCAGCTGTCCGTCCAAAATTTGTTCCACCAAAATACTGCAAGATAAAATACCTTAATTTGTTTTATTTACAAATCTATTTTAACTAAATAAACTCAACAAGAAACAAAAAGATTGCTAAAATTACCATATAATAGTTTTGAAAAGTGCCTCCTTTTTCAAAAAAACGTGCAACAGCAAAAGCCAGGTCTTCAACGGGTCGATAAGGAACAGGATACCCAAATGCAAGAAACCTGTAGTAAAATTAAAGAGAAAGACATACATACCCCTTTTATATGACCATATAAAATATTGAAGATGCTTTTATGTAATAAAAGGTTAGATATACCATCCAGGGTAGTTCTCTGTCCACATCTTTGGCTTTGAAGGAGAATTTGGGGTGAATTCATCACAATAGAATCCATTACATGTGTTTATCTACAAATTGGTGTTGCCATTTTGTTAGAATTGACATAGATATAGACTAACATATGATTATAAGTTGTAAGATAATTTAGCTTACAATTGGATCAGGTGCATCATCCTGTGCACACATCACCCAAGGAACTGTTGTATTAAAACTTAGAGCAGTTTCTGCTGCCCATTTTACATATAGCTCTCCACCAACTCCATAAGCCCACTCAACATTTCCATATTCGTTTTCAACCTGTTAGATATATACCCAAAAAGGACTTCATCAATCATCATAAACATAACTCTCATCTAGATTCTATGAGCACAATGTAACGAGAATCACCTGAGCAAGAATAATTGGTCCTCCTTGTGATGCAAAAAGATTCTCTTCTTTCATTAAGTTGACAATTTTAGCAAGAAAAAGTTCCATTTCTGCCTATGCCACAGTTTCACATTGAAAATTTCACATTATGCAAGTGGGATGAAGATTCAGAACATGTTCAAACATAAATTAGCATTGTGTGTCATAATAGAGTACCTGGTAAGGGCCATTTGTGGTCCGGAATTGAATATCAGGAATGAAATGTAACCAAAGAGGGAATCCTCTGCTCAGAAATTTATAGAAATGAACCTCTAAGATTTAGCACAAACATATGGACAGAAGTGTAACTTAAACCAGAGGATGTAATTAAGAAGAAAAAAAACAGACCCATAATTCCATTCAGCACATGCATATGGACCAATACGAAGATGAACAAACAGGCCAGCTTCATGCACTGTCTTCACAAACTTAACTAAGTCGAATCTCCCTTCAAAGTAGTACTATCACATAAACAAAGAAGCGAGGCAAAAACAACAATTATACAAGAAATACTTCTCATCATCATCATCATAAATTTACAAATGTAAGTTTAATATATTGTACCTGTCCCTTCACAGGCTCATGGTAGTTCCAGAAAACATATGTTTCAATTACATCCAGTCCTCCTTCTTTTGCCTTCTCAATGATATCTGGCCACATCTGCAATTCAACACATAAACACAATCGCCATTCTTACATGATGCACTTAATGAAATCACAAAGAACTTGAGAAAAAACAGAAGCAAAATTGAACGCACTTCGGGAGTTGCTCGAGGATAATGAATGGATCCAGACTGCAAAATCCGCTTTCTCCCATCTATAATCAAAGCTTTATTGTCATAAGTTACGGTCACAGAAAACCCTAATTCACAAAACCAAGCTCCGTACAGTACAATAATGAACAAAATCAACCCCAAACCCCCATTTTTCCCCATGAATTCAGTAGAAAATTGCAGATAGCTAACATAGAGAAAGAATCTATTCCATCTAGTATATAAAGAAGAAACAAGTGAACGATTGTTTCCATGTGGTTGGTTTGTAACATTTGTTAATATCGAATTGGAGAATACTAGTCTAAAAAAACGAATTTGTATTATACCTGTTGAAATTACCTGAAACGATGCTCACTTGGGTCGATTCGGATCGATAAAGATTGTAAAAGTAGCATTGAATAAGGTTCAAGGACAGGACAGTTGTGTGTATGTGTGTGTTTATGTTGCTTTCCCGCCATTCTTAACCGTGGTGATTGCAATTGGGCTGTGAATAAACGGTCGGATCAAAAATTAAATTTGAATTTTGTCAAACCATTTTCTTTCTCTTTTTTGTTTTATCGAAAAACTTTTTCTATACATTCACACACAATATGACATATATTCGCATATTTATGGACATCAATGGACAAAACATATAACAAATTAACAAGGTATCAAGGTTTGGTATTATCTCCATCTTGGTGTGATTTCCCCTCCTTTATCTTATGCGGAATCATTTCAATGTGAACATGTTTTCGTAAATTTTATTTTATATATTTTTATATATTTGTATTATTTTCTATTTTTTTTTGTTGGAGTTCTTCTGATATACCTGTCTTCTTACCGTATATTTTTATATGTTGATGTTGATGTTTCTTTTTATATAATGTATGCTATTTTTGGGTTGTGTGTTGGTCAGGCCCGGCCCAATAGAGTTGGCAAGCTGGGCGACAGCCCCGGGCCTCACTACGGTTTGGGGCCCCAAAATTAATTATGTTTTATATTTTATAGTTATATATACATCTTGTTAACAAATTTATCAAAAGTGTAGTAGCTTAGTGGTTATGGTAAAATTAATCAAACGACGCTTCTTACCTGATACTCTCGTTCGAATCTTTCTGTTTGCATTTTTTTATGCATTTATTTTTTTGATGGCCCCATTTCTTCTACGAGTATTATTTTTTTCTTATTGTAATCATACTATTTGAATTAGATGTGGATGTCCTAACTTAGTGAATTGGAATCCAAACTACAAAAATGGCCCTTATATTCTTTTTCATTATACATAAATCATCCAAATTATAAAAATATTAATTTTTACTCTTTTTGATTTTTGACAAACTACCCAAACACTTATTTCATTTAAAACTTTAATGTTTTTATGGCCAATTATCATGCATAATTTTCATGCTTTTTTTAACGAAAATCATATTAACCAACCCGTTAGACAGATTATTCTTCCTTTTTTTCATTATACATAAATCATCCAAATTATAGAAATACTTTCTTGACGTTTATGATTTTTGACAAACCACCCAAATACTTATTTCATTTAAAACTTTAGTTTTTTTATGACCAATTATCATGCTTAAATTTTATGTTTATATATATGAGATTTTCTATTTAGCATTGTCTTTTAATGTATAATAACAAGTATTTATAAGTTTATTTTGCGAAAATCATATTAACCAACCGGTTAGACGGGTCACTTTTCATTTTTTTTTTAGTTTTCACCAACATAAGATTTTTTTTCCAAACACACATTTTTGTTTTTTACCAAACACCTAACCGTTTTTCAAAATGGTTTGGTTGTTTGATTTTTCGGATTTTTGATTTTGTTTTGTCATTGGTTTTTTTTTAACTCGCGTCCTTCAAATACAATCATATATATATATATATATATATATATATATATATATATATATATATATATATATATAATTTAATTACAAGTATTATGGTTTTTTATTACTAAATTTTGAGGTGCCATATTTTTTGGTTTTGCCCCGGGCCTCAAATCATCTTGGGACGGCCCTGGTGTTGGTGACTCCTGTGAGATAAGACAATTATTTTATATTGGCATTAAGTTATTATCTATGTGAAGATCGATTGGAATATCGAACTTTCAACCTAGTTTATTTAACCTTTGTTTGTTGTTGAAAATTATAATCTACAATTTGAAGTGTATTGGTATTTTATGTTTCCATTTATTGATTTTAACCAACGGTATTAGAGTTTATGCGGGTTTGATTTGTACACATCTCATATTAGGGTTTACATCAATATGGAATATGGAAACTATGAGATACAACATACATTTGCTAGATAAAGAAAATACAAAAGTGGTTCTATATGGTGGAACAAAAACCCTTGTATAGAGATGATAAAATACATGAACATTTGTAAAATTTCAAGTTTAAGATGGTAAATCATACACACTAGTCAAAATATAACAGGAAACTTGTGTGCATTTTACAAGTTTCAGGTTATATATAACATATCGTTACTATACATAAAGTAATGTTAGTACTTTCTATTATGAGAAAAATATATATAAGGGGTAAAAACTAAAGTGCATTACATATATTGGCTGCAAGAGTAGAGTATGATGTTATTTCAATTAACAAATGTATTTGCCACACAAAAGACCCGTGGGTCTATCTGATATATATATATATATATATATATATATATATATATATATATATATATATATATATATATATATATATATATATATATATATATATATATATATATATATATGCAGGTTGCAAAGATAATCCCAAGAGATAAATCTTATCTATATAACATTTGAATATTTGAATAATATGTTCCTATCTAATCTTCTTCTGTTTACATTCCCCTCAATCGCAACCGTTTCAATGTTTAGATTGTATTTTTATCTTTCCAATATGTTTCGAGTGGCTGGCTTAGTAAACTCATCAGCTACTTGATCTCCAGAAGAAATGAACCTGACATCCGGTGCACCCATAGCTACATTCTCTCAGACAAAATAAAAATCAACCTCTATGTGCTTAGTTCGTGCATGAAATACTGGATTGGCTGTCAAATATGTTGCACCTAAATTATCACACCATAACACTGGTGCTCTTGGCTGATGAACTCCCAATTCTTTGAGTAATGATTGTATCCAAGTTGCTTCAGCTGTTCCGTTTGCCTAAGCTTTGTACTCATCCTCTGTGCTTGACCGTGATACAGTTGGCTGCTTACGAGAACTCCATGAGATCAAGTTTGGACCTAAAAATATAGCATACCTTCCGGTAGACCTGCGGTTATCTAAGCATCCTTCCCAGTCTGCATCCGTGAACACACTTAATAACGTGGAGTTTGATTGTCTAATTCTTAACCCGGTAGATACAGTTCCTTTAACATATCTCAAAATTCTTTTATCGGCTTCCCAGTGTAGATCGGTAGGTTTGGAAAGGTATTGGCATACCTTGTTTACTGCAAACGAGATATCATGTCGAGTTAGCGTGAGATACTGTAAACCCCCAACCATGCTTCTATATTTGAACGCATCTTCTTCAGCAAGTAGTCTTCCATAGTTACTAGCTAGTTTTTCTGTGACAGACATAGGGGTTGAAACTGTTTTACAATTCTCCGTGTGGGCACGATATAGCAAATCAGTGACATACTTATGTTGAAGTAATGTGATTCCCCTTAAATTGTGAACTACTTCAATCCCTAGAAAATAATTTAAATGGCCGAGATCTTTAAGTGGAAATGAGGAAGACAACGCGCAAACAAGCTTATCGACCACTTGTTTTGATGAACCGGCAATGATTATATCGTCGACATAGACCAACATGTAAATAACAACTCCACCATGATTGAAGAGAAATAGGGAAGTATCAGCCTTGGAGGATTGAAAACCAAGGTGATGCAGTTTTTCACTGAGACGGGAGAACCAGGCACGAGGCAATTGTTCAAGACCGTTGATCGCCTTTTGAAGCTTACACACATAATGAGGTCTGTTGGAATCTTCAAATCCAGGGGGTTGACTCATGTATACGTCTTCATGTAGAAGACCATGAAGAAACGCATTGTTGATGTCAACTTGGCGCAGATGCCACTTGCGAGAAACAGCCAGAGAGAGAATCAGTCTTACCGTTGCGGGTTTTACAATGGGACTAAACATTTCTTCATAGTCAATACCATATCGCTGAGTGAAGCCGCGAGCAACCAAACGTGCTTTGTGCTTGTCAATGGAACCGTCTGGATTTTGTTTAACTTTAAAAATCCATTTACATCCAACTATATTGACACCAGAAGGTCTGGGAACAAGAACCCATGTTTTGTTTGCATGCAAAGCATCATACTCTGTTTTCATTGCTTCGTACCAAGATGGATCAGACAGAGCTCGCTTATGAGAAGTGGGAGTAGTGAAAAATGATCTCCTGTTAGGATTATAAAGAATGGTGCCATCATTATACTGTTTAGGAAACACTTTGCCCAGTTGACCACGAGTTACAACACCTGAGGGAACCGTTGTTGGGATCGAAACAGTAACCGGACCTGCTGGTGATGACTGCACAGGAGAAACTGGTTCAGAAGGGACCGAAACTGTAGCGGTTGCTGGTGAGGTTGTTGGTGTTTCTGGTGGCGTCGGGGCATCTCGTGTCACATCTGGTTTAGTTGGAACGATGTTTTCATTGGTTTGAAAGCCCTGGATCGACGGTAATGGAGTTGTAGCTGCATTGTAGTTATTAGTGGATAGCATAGATAAATCATGGTTAGTCATATGATCATTTAAAACAGCCGGTTCAGATTAAGGAAATGACACAACACTTGAGTTTGGAAGATGAACAGATGTATGAGATGAATAAGCAAATGGAAAACGTGATTCATCGAAGACAACATCAAGAGAGATGTAGATGCGACCTGTGTTTCTATCCAAACATTTATAACCTTTGTGCATTGAGCTGTAACCAAGAAACACGCAAAGTTTTGATCTAAATTCAAGTTTGCACGTGTTATATTTACGTAAACTCGGCCAACATGCACACCCAAAGTTCCGAAGGAACGAGTAGTCAGGAGTGATTTTGAGCAATCGGGTAATGGGTGCAAGATTGTTTGTGACACGACTAGGTAGTCGATTTATCAAATAACAGGCTGTCAAGAATGTTTCATCCCAAAAACGCAAAGGAAGAGAAGAGTGATCTAGGAGAGCCAAACCTGTTTCGACGACATGTCGATGTTTTCTCTCGGCTATACCGTTTTGTTGAGACGTGTGTGGGCAGGACACACGATGTGAGATACTTATTCTTTGAAAATATTGATGGAGTTTGTGATATTCACCTCCCCTCGGATTGTATAGCACGAATTTTACTATTCAAAAGTCTTTCAACATGATTTTGAAAATTATAGAAAATTTGCTCAACATCAGATTTTCTTTTAATAAAATATATCCAGGTATAACGACTGAAATCATCGACAAAACTCACATAATATTTAAAACCACCACTAGACACTTGAGCAGGTCCCCAAACATCCGTGTGAACCAACTCAAGTGGAAAAGAAGTAACACGAATAGAATTATTGTACGAGAGTTTATGACTCTTCCCTTTTTGACAAGCATCACAAACAGAAAAGTTACTATCAAAAGAACATCCTAAATTATTAGACCTCAAAATAGACTTGACTACTGCTGAAGACGGATGACCAAGCCGCCGATGCCACTGAGAGGATGAGACACGAACACTAGATGAAGTAAGGTGAGGTGTTGAAGATTGCTTGAATGGCACCGGATAGAGAACACCATTGCTTTTACCGACTAGAAGGATTTTCTTCGTGAGTTTGTCCTTAACAAAGAAAGCATTGGTGTGAAATTCAATAAAAACATTGTTATCATAAGCAAGCTTGTAAGCAGAAAGAAGATGTTTGTTTATATTTGGGACACATAAAATATTTTTGAGAACAAGAGGTTTTCCTAAACCGGAATATTTTAGAATGACCAATATGAGAAATGTTCAAATATGTTCCATTTGCAACCTGTACTTGATCCTTGCCATTGTAACGTTCTTGGACAGAAAGCCGATCTAGATCACTGGTGAGATGATCCGTAGCCCCAGTGTCAATGTACCAATTTTGATCTCCATTGTAAGGACTTGTAGTGACACTATTACCCCCACGATAGTCATCAGCTTGATAAGCATGATTAAACTTGTTTCGACAATTGAGTGCACTGTGACCATGTGTGAAACAAACTTGACATCTTGGGCCACCATTACTCCTGCCTCGGCCATGTCCTCGACCTCTGTTTGATCCTGCCCCACGGTAATTAGACCGCTGGTTATTGTTGGGGTTATTTGAATTTCGTCGTGGTTGATTTGAACCTTGGTGAGTCACGCTATTTGCTGAAGAGGTGAACTCAGTCATGCTGTTGGTGGCAGTGGTATGTGCTTCATGAGCTATTAGATAGGAGTAAAACTCAGGTAAGGTTACCTTATGTTGATCACTGAGGACTGTGATGGCAGTGAAAAGATCACCGTGACCTGGTCCTAGTCCGGCTAGTATATAGCCAATAACCTACTCATCAGTCATGAGATGGCCAATGTTTGTCATTGTGTCAGCAAGTGTTGTTATTTTTTGATAATATTCAGCTGCACTCAGATCTCCTTTCCTGGTTGTTGATGGTTGAGTGTGTATTTGTATAGAGTTATCTCTATGTTGTGCTGAAAACATAGTGTGAAGAGCAGTCCACAGTTGACTTGAAGTATCTGTGCATCGGGTAAGTTGAGCCAGCACTTCTTCTGTCATAGAAGACAGAAGACCACCAATAATTGCTTGATCTTGCACCATCCACGGGTTATACTCGGGATTGTCTGTTTCACGTGCTTCAGCACCAGCCCCTGTGGTTAGTTTGGCAGGGGGAGATTTAATTGAGCCATCGAGATAACCGAATAGCTGAACACCCTTTAGAATGGGCACCACTTGAGCTTTCCAAAACATAAAATTTGATCGGTTTAGATTACATGTGGTAGTTGTGGCGATCTTAGAGGAGTTGATGTTTGAAACAGAAGTAGACATGGCGAGACTGGAAAGGGTTACCAGCGGCCGAAGATGAAAGAAGAAGACATGGGAATGAGAGCCCTAGGATAAGCTCTGATACCAAATTAACAAATGTATTTGCCACACAAAAGACCCGTGGGTCTATATATATATATATATATATAGGGAAATGATCAAATGAGAACACCTAAAAGATTGAGAACGTGAGAACAAGTATATTCATTTGTGATTCCATGTATTCATTTGTGTAGAAATGATAAATTTTTACGCACAATCAACATGAATATGCTTTTTCTCTTCAATTGAAATTAAAGGCGTAAAAATTTATCATTTCTCCACAAATGAATACATGGAATCACACATGAATATACTTTGTTCTCGCATTCTCAACCTTTTTAATGTTCTCATTTGATCCCACTCATATATATATATATATATATATATATATATATAGAGAGAGAGAGAGAGAGAGAGAAAGAGAGAGAGAGAGAAAGAGCTAGGTTCAGGTGTTTAAACTAATTATTGTGTTATTGTATGCATCAATGTAGGCCAATCATTTCAAATGGGTAAATATGTAATCTTACATTTAATTAATTATGGTAAATATATAAATCAATTAATATCCCTTTAATTTAGGAATATCAGTTAATATCCCTTTAATTTAGAAATGGGTCGTGTTATCAGAGCACAGCGTAAGGGAGCAGGGTTCGTCTTTAAATCTCATACCCACCACCGAAAATGGCGATTACCCTCTCAACATACTCGCTTCTTCACCACATACTCGCCGCCCTGTCTTCGCCGCCGTCTCCAGCTCCACCGGCAAGTTTTATTCTTCCCCATCGTAATACACACACTAATCCACAAGTTATGTAATTTGCCAATATAGCAGACCTTCACTAATCCACAAGTTTTGCAGCCGACATTCACATTTCACAATGGTTCTGGTTCGTCGACTCCACTCGCCGTATACACGCCTCAAAAGACTGCGTCCCTTGTTTGCTACTTCGTCGATGGTGTTATTGATTTCTACTCACCGACGCAACGTCGTCTCCACTCCGGCGAAGCAAGGCAGCGACGACTCAGGTCAGTTTCGATTTCTATGCCATTGTTTGAATAAGATGTCTTTATTGATTTCTTTTTTGAATCTGATTTCATAGGTATGTAAAATTTGTTCTTTGCTGATTTCATACACAGTCGATGTATTTGTTGATTTAATTCACAATTTCAAATCCTCATTTTATAAACAGTCGATGTTTTTGCTAATTTCATACACAACCACATTTAAGTAAAGCTGATTTGATAAACATGTAATCTGCTTTTTATCATAGGAGTGTGAGTTGTTGATTTTTGCTTTAGCTGTTGATTGCATTTTGTTGTATGGGTTGTTCATCTGTTAGCATAGTTTAGTTAACATTGTATGGGTTTCATTATGCTTTATCTGATATAGATTGATTCTATTACACATATGGGTTTATCTAATTAAAACTATGTATTTATGTATCTGATTTGTAACAATATGTTTCTAGACGAATTGATGCAAACAGTTAGACAAGAAACAGAGAAGAATAACAATTGCAATGACAGTATGTTTCTAGACGAATTGATGCACACCAAGCGCTCGCTAAAATGCTTCAACTGAATGGTATTTCTTCGTTTATAGTATTCTATCAGAAAAGAATGTCATTTATGATAATCATCAACATATTCTGTTACAATTCACAGAATTAATATAATTATTAGTAAATGAATTCCAATTCTATCAGATTGGAATCACGAATTCCAATTATGTTGGAATGGAATATGAATATTTTCTCACTAATTTATTATTGGATTTGTTTCTACAGAAGCTGATGTTTGAAGAACGGACCACGAAATTTGAACGACGCCTCTTAGCAACATTATTCTTTTAGAATGTAGTAGTGTCTTTGTTAGATTTTGATGTTTTTTTTTCTAGATTTGAAATTTTTTTAGTTTTATTCTTTAACAATAAATGTAATTCTTAGCAATTGTTACATGTATTCTATAAGAATTAATGTAATTTTTGTTTTAATTCTTCAATTGATGGTTCGAGAATTTTGTTATTCTACAAGAAATTTTTAAAGTCATGATCAAGAAATATGTTCAAGAATATTTTTATTATTTTATGGTTCAAGAATTTTTTTATTTTTCAACACATTCAAACATATTCTTTCAGAATGTCCGAATTAAAAACCTTATAATTCGTAAAATCGGATTTTTAAAATTAATAGAATATATGATCCCTTAAAATATGCAAATTTCCTTTATTAAATCTATGTTAATTGACTAAAATACCCTTCTAGTTAAATTAGATGGTATTTTTCAATTATATTTAACTCAATAATATGTATTAATCACTTTCTTAAAATAAGTAAAATGATTGGCCCACAATTATGCATACAATAACACAATACTTAGTTTGAATAGAATAACCTAAGCCTATATATATATATATATATATATATATGCATGCAGGTTACAGAGATAATTCCAAGAGATAAATCTTATCTATACAACATTTGAATATTTGAATAATATGTTCCTATCTAATCTTCTTCTGTTTACAATTTCCCTGAATTACAGAAAGGGAAACTACAAAACACCCATTTAGAAGTGGGGAATCGCTCATAGTTCCAGCCCGACTATTACCTGTCTCGGTTTTATGGACATTGAGGTATATGTGAAATAATGATGGTGAAAAATAAGTTGTACATACTTAACTTCCAAGACTTGTTTATCATTTAACACATACCATTTGTTACAACATCACAAACCATCAAATGCAGCTATGCCTATACAAATGTGTTGATTCAAGCAGTGCATAAAGCTTCAATTGCCAAGCTTTTTGCCACCGCAGGACACGGGTCCCCAAAACTAGCTGTTGAAACAGGAACCCAACATTTTTGCTTCCCGATACAAACCTGCATTTAGTTTATGAACAATTGTTACAATCTTAAAGACTAATTTCTCAAGAGTCTGTAACATGAGTTTCTACAAATAAGACCGAAGCAAGTTTCTCCTAGCACGTCCAAACAATCAATAATATAATCACACGATATGTAAATAAAGATACAAAGATATACAAATAATGAGAACTATGGTACCTGTTCAACAATCGATAAAACGTCAATATGACAACTTCCTTGAGTAAATCCAGCACCACAATCCCCTTTGGGATTCCCAAAGCTAGCGAAACCAACAGATGAAATTTTCCAGCCTTGATCACATGTCAATCGGAGTTGAGGGCTTTGAGAACTGGAATCGGAATTGGGTTTCCAGAGTTCAACCGGAATCGGATCGTCCTCTGAGACATGGCCACACACTTTCTGCCCGGTTCGTGTGAGCACAGAAATTTTGGAAGGGTCGCCACCCAGCTCTTCATGAAGAACAACCAAGTTCTCACCAGGATGCACCCATGTCCGTGGTATATGATATCTACACACATATCATATTATTTGACAATATATTACAAAAAAAAAAAAAGACAATCACCTGTGTAAATATATATTTATAAATTACTTACAAAATTTGGGCTGGTTGACCACATTTCTTCTGACATTTTTGTGCATTATAAGTTCCTCTGTAGTCACAATTATCTGTACAACCTGTTGATGGTGAAAGGTAAGTTGACCAATATCGTCCTATGCTCTGCCCATTCACCCAAGCTTCACCCTTCCCCATGCTTCCAAGGTTCAGTGATAGAGGACCTTTTCCTTCAGGGGCAATGAATGTGGACTGTGAATATATATATATATATATATATATATATATATATATATATATATATATATATATAATGAAAAAAAAATTAGAGTCTTGGAAGTAGATAACAGTTAACAATCAGTCCCATATGGTGTCTTCGTAATGACTGAAATTTACATACCTTATACCAAATGAGACTCTGATTAGTGGGGATTTCATTGCCATGGGTCCATATGGAACTATTAGCAACATCTGTTTTATCAAGTCCAAGACTTTCCCCTTCAGTTCCCACCTAAATGCAATCAAAAGTATGCAACAGCTCAAAACTATGTGTGAAATGTGAAAGAAACCCTAATAGTCAAAGTTAACAACAAACCTGGTATGTCCACTCGTTAGATGAAATGTCCTGTTTAGCATTTTTGAGATCAAGCAGGGTGACGGAATATAAGCCTGCTCCCCAGGTATCAAACCATGGACCATAGTTCTGGATAGCAAACATACATATAACCATTAAAATAAGGATACCCAACAAATTATAATGTCAGTCACACCAATATTCAATGGTCCTAATTCACTCATTTATTGTGTTCTTTGAAGTCTAAAGACTGTGTAGATATGGGAAAATAAGTAGTAGACAAGAAAGATACGGTGTCACCTGTAGATCAATCATCATACTAATAATATCCAACGTGTTGTTTCCTTGTTCAAGACTAATCTTTTCGCTTATGCTGAAGATTGCATCATCATGATAACCATAACCAAATGCTACATCAGATTTTTTTTAAATTAAAAACAAATAGTGGTTGTGAATAAGTACCTTTTGAGCAAACATCTGTTAACACAGCCAGAAGTTACCTAAAACTTTTTTGTTCAGAAAAACCAGAGCAGCATGTCCCAAACTCTGAATGAGCAAAAACACATCTTTCTTTTCTTCTGCTTCTATCCTGCAAAAAGGTTACAGAAATTCATCATATTCTTTTGAAAACCTGAAAGAGAAGCATGTTATTTTGAAATGAATTATTACCTTGTAGTGTACCATAGAAAATCACTTGCGTCTTTTGTTGTATTAATCTGCTCTACCAAACTGGTTTCTGTAAACGATTCATTGCTCCAAACACCCACTTTTTCTACATACCAACTCCATCTTGAATTCGACAGTGAAAATTCACTCACATCAAATGTAGTAGCATCACCAACACTTTTCTGAGCCACAACCTTTCTCCATAGTCAACATATAAGTTGCATCATATTTCAGCTCTTGTGAAATTATATACACAAGAAAACATGGATATAATGTTACCTTTGCTGTGTTGAAAATAACATTTTTACAATCTGGAAGAATGCTCACAGACCATGCAGGGAGAAAATATGATTTCCCATTGAATGTCACATTTGCATCTAAAGTGCTACCATAATTTGAAAGAAAAGCTGCACAATCGCTGGATGTTTTATAGTATACATCTGCCTGTTGAACAAATAGATCGAGTCAGGACGAATCATAGCTCATGAGAATTACAATTCACAAGTATGCATATTGATAGATTTATAAAATACCTCTAAGTTTGTACCAAGAGATTGATGAGTTGGATCTGCATTTACCAAATATTCTTCGCATTGCTTTATTGCCATATGTAGATCCCGCAAGTGACTCCACTTTGGATGCCTTATGAATCCTGCATAACTTATCCTTATACATCACTTACCCCATTCTTATGGGACTTGGGTATTGTTGTATTTCATTCTCCAATTCCAACAAATCAAACACTGCCTAAGTGTTGCATGAGAATTGATGAGATGTCAGAAAATTACCATACTCATCTATTGGGGCATCATAATCATAGCTTGTACCAATCATAGGGCCTCCAGATGTTCGTCCGAAATTTGTTCCACCAAACTACTGCAAAATAATTTTATATGCACACCTATGTTAACGAATAAACTCGACAAGAAACAAAAAGATTGGCTAAATTACCATATAATAGTTTTGAAAAGTGCCTCCTTTTTCAAAAAACCTTGCAACAGCAAAAGCCAGGTCTTCAACAGGTCGATAAGGAACAGGATACCCAAATGCAAGAAACCTGTAAAATTAAAGAGAAAGACATACATACCCTTTTGTATAATCATATATAAAATTGAAAATGCTTTTATGTAGTAAAAGGTTAGATATACCATCCAGGGTAGTTCTCTGTCCACATCTTTGGCTTTGAAGGAGAATTTGGGATGAATTCATCACAATAGAACCCATTACATGTATTTATCTACAATTTGGTGTGCCATTATGTTAGAAACCAATTAACAAACTTCATTCCAGGATACAGAACCAATTGAAGAAGAAATAGTGAAACTAATAAAAGAATTAACACACAGATGGTGATTTTAATCGAGTATCCAGCAGGCAGAAGGTTGGTCTACGGTAGAGCTTTCAGTTTAGCAGTTTGTATGTGTTAACAATTGACATAGATACAGACTCCTGATTATAAGTTGAGTTAATTTTATTTAACTTACAATTGGATCAGGTGCATCACTTTGTTTGCACATCACCCAAGGAACGCTTGTATTAAAACTTAGAGCAGTTTCTGCTGCCCATTTTACATATAGCTCTCCACCAATTCCATAGGCCCACTCAACATCTCCATATTCATTCTCAACCTGTTATATATGACAACACACTGAGATATAGACGTAAAAGGAGTTAATCATAAGCATATCTTTTGTATTCCAGAGATAGAACTTAAGAAGTGATCATCTATTCATCTAGGTCTGTTAAGTCCTAAGTAGTAAATACGTGTATAGATTTGATAGAGGGCATTTACCTACTAAAAGATGCTTAGAATGTATAGCATTAAAAACTGTCATAAGGGAATCACCTGAGCCAGAATAATTGGTCCTCCTTGAGATGCAAAAAGATTTTCCTCTTTCATTAAGTTGACAATTTTAGCAAGAAAACGTTTCATTTCTACCTGAGCCATTATTTCATATTAAAATTTTGCACATTTATGCAAAATTTAAAACATGATGAAACAAAAATTAGCATGGTTTGTGGTAATGGAGTACCTGGTAAGGGCCATTTGGACCAATACGTAGATGAACAAACAGGCCAGCTTCATGCACTGTCTTCACAAACTTAACTAAGTCGAATCTCCCTTCAAAGTAGTACTATCACATAAACAAAGAAGCGAGGCAAAAACAACAATTATACAAGAAATACTTCTCATCATCATCATCATAAATTTACAAATGTAAGTTTAATATATTGTACCTGTCCCTTTACAGGCTCATGGTAGTTCCAGAAAACATATGTTTCAATTACATCCAGTCCTCCTTCTTTTGCCTTCCCAATGATATCTGGCCACATCTACAATTTAACCCACAATCATCAACCACATTCACACATTATGCACAGAACACAAAATTGAACTCACTTCGGGAGTGGCTCTAGGATAATGAATGGATCCAGACTGCAAAATCCGCTTTCTCCCATCTATAATCAACGCTTTGCTGTCATAAGTTACAGTCATGGAAAACCCTAATTCAAAAAACCAAGCTCCGTGAAGTATAATAATGAATAAAATTAAACCCAAACTCCGAACTTTCCCCATTAATTCAATTAAAATTTGCAGAAAGATAACATGAAGAAGAATCTACTCCGTCTAGTGTAATGCGTACGTAGTATGGGTATATAGAGAAGAAATAAGTAGACGACTGTTTCCAAGTGATTGGTTTGTAGCATTTGTTGATAGCGAATTGGAGAATAACAATGTGAAAAGGATTTTGTATTATGCCTGTTAGAATTACAAAGAACGATGATCACTAAGGTCGATTTGGATAGATAAAGATTGTAAGATTACTATTTGGTAAGTTTCAAGGAAACGACAGTTTGTATGTGTGTGAGCGCAATCACAAACAACTGTTCATTTCTGTTGCTTTCCCGCCATTCTTAAGCGTGCTGATTCGGATTCGGTCATATGGATCGACGGATAATTTGAATCTTGTCAAACCATTTTCTTTTTCCTTTTTGGTTTTGTTACCCTGGAAAACTTTTTGCTATATACGCAAACACTATTAGACATGTGTTAAATAACATAATGTAATCATGTATTTGTTAAGGAAAATAAATAAAGAAGCAGTCAACACATATAAACACAAAACTTACTAATACGAAATTTACCGATTATGAACAGATAGAGACTTGCAAACACAATATCCTAAGCCCGAAATTCATCCCTATTTGTGCAATAGTTTCTGGACTTCTAAATTTATGATACAACTATCTCGAATTAAGTTATTGCACGAGAACTTAATTTCTAACGAATCTACAGTATGCATTCGTGAAATTTGAGAGTGTGTGTGGTTATTGTTCATCCAGAAGATCCCAAAAATCAGACTCGTATTGTATAAATAGGATTTGTATGAAACTATCAAATTACAATAATTACTCAAGCCAATCTTATCACTAAAACAAACTTAATTAAAAAAAATACTTAAAAACTGATTTTCAGATTATCTCATGAGACAAACACCATAAGACAAAAAAGAAATAAAAAATTGATTTTCGCATAATATGTTGGTAAATCACTAGTAGTGCACTAGTGAATTTCAGAGCACGTAATCAAACAATTAGCCCAATGGTTAATTTGGTGTGATTTCAATTCCCTTTTATCTCTCTTTATTTATTGTTTTCTCATTGGGTATTGGTGTTTAGTATGATATCATATATTTATTCCATATTAGTATCAAATCATCAATCATTTTGATAAATAATTGGTTGTGTTCCTTTGGTTCTCATTTATTGATTTTCTTAAGTGGTGACCAGATTTGATCTGATAAATATCTCATATCGAGGTTTTTGTAATTAGATATTAGCATTCCTTGAAAAAAAAAACGCTAGAAGGAGGGCTTGAACCTCCGACCTTGTGGTTAACAGCCACACGCTCTAACCAACTGAGCTATTCCAGCTTTTTATTCCTTATAATTTATAAGTCTTCAATTAATTCGACAAAACCATAACTGTTTTAAACATTGTTTGTTCTACACAAATGAGATAAGCTCATTTTATTGTCATATGTCTATATTTCCAATTAATATGCATACCAAATACATGTAAAAAAAACAAAAAAAAATATCAACTATAAAATGTATCTGGAAGTTTATCCTATGATACATCCATCATTAACTTCATCTATTAAGAATATTGCATTAACCAAAATGGAAATAACTTTTGGATACAAACTTCATAACACGAATCTATACTATAAAATATAAATATTGTACACAACTATGCCGTTTGATAAAACTGGACCATCTACGGCTGAATGATTCCAATCTCTTAATAGTTCAGAGAAAGCAGGGTTTCAGAGACCTTGAATGCTGAACTAACCTTTTTGCACTTTGGAGCCTTCATAAGAAAAGATACGCACTGCGTTTCTATAGCTCACATCTGCAACCTCTTCTTTAGACATATCAAGCAAACGCGCCACATTAGCAAGCACAAACTGGATATTAGCTGGATGATTAAGCATCTCTTTCAGTTCTTCATCATTTCCCTCTTTTTCTTCTTCAACCAAAAAAACAGACTCTGAATCATTCAATATCTTTGGTAGTGCATCAGGTGCATCAGTCTCCAGTAAAATCCTATCAAAAGGCACAGCTTTCACCATTTTCTTAGCTTTATTTTCTTTCATGGCCATAAGAAACCCCGAAAAAGAAAAATAAGCCCCGAGTTTTGCAAACTCAGGAACCATTTCAGCAGAACCTAAGTAAGAATGCAAGATTACACCTTCAGGAAAAGGTCCAATGGCTTTCATTATGTCAAGAAGATCACCAAAAGCACGCACACAGTGTACAGAAGCTGGTCTTTTAAGCTCTTTAGCAAGTTCAAGTTGCAGGCTGAAAGTTTCAACTTGATTTGTGAAATCAATCATCTTTCCACGTGACCCTTTGTCTAAACCAATCTCTCCTATTGCAGCACAAGGTGTATCATCCATGAATTCTCTTAAGAGTTTCAACCAGTTGGAGGTTTTGTCCATTATAAACCATGGATGGATTCCAAATGAAGGGATTATAGAAGGGTAGTTATCGCTCATCTCCTTTACCAAATGCCAGTCTTTCTCGGAGACACCATTCACTGCAAAATGGAGTATCCCGTTCTCTAGGGCTGTTTTGATAAGACTTGGGGCCTTGTTGATGATTCTGGGGTCTTGTAGGTGACAATGAGCATCAAACAGTTTTATCATGGCTTCAAATCTATTTGACTATTCCTAGTAGCTGCAGTTTCTTGTTAGATCAACGATTTTTCCCTGTGTCATATGATAAATTAGTGCTAGAGGTGTGAATACATAATTGAATACATCAACTTGGGAGAAAGTTGAACTGTAGGAGAAAGCTTAACATAATCGAAGAACAAACAAAGTTATTATCATATTTCTCCAATTCTGGAATCCAAAAATTTTATATACCATTAGTTTCTCCCCGAATTGACAAAAAAACTGATGTATTAGGGTTGCGAATTGAAATCGAAGCAAGTTTTTTCCTGAACGAAAACCACCACTAATCGATTTCTAGCATTATCGATCAAACTTCAGATTGTGAAGCTATGGTATTTAACGAAAGTGTTTTTTTCAGTTTAGGCAACTATGAAATTCGCAAAAGAAGATAGAAACAAGGGCAATCAAAGAAACTACACGAGAATATATTTATATAGAAATTCACAGAGAAACACAATTGTATGCATATGTGTACCTGTATGCATCGATGTATTCACTGGTTCTAACAAAGCGGACGAACTGATTACGCCTTACAACCACCATGGAAAAAAAAAAGCAAATCAATCTCAGTAGCAAAAAAAAATGTATAGATTTTGCAGCATAACGTACAAGTGCCCAGCCCAAATCCTTCCATGTGTAAACTGTAAAGTGCCCAGCCCAAATACGAAGCCCAATCAGACTATTTAATTATTTTTCCATTCGATTATTTATCGGAAAGTATATCAAAATTACTGCATTTCTGAATGTTTAAATTGTATTTGAATAAAAATATGTGTTTGTATTTTTGAATGAATTTTGTGTGTGTCATTAGTTAGGCTATGATGCCTGAAATGACCACCATAATGGACCTATGTAGTTGTAGTGGACTGCAGGGAACACAGTCTCTTTTTACTTATTAATTGCACTTTTGAAGCTCTTACGATGATTAATGGGTTTCCACTGAACCTAACCATCTTCTCTGTTCCCTCGCTTTTCTGATTTAATTTTTACAAGTGTCAATATCATATTTAATAGGTAACGATTAGAGATAATAATTTTCTAAGTTGTTTGTTTTTTCTGACTCAAAATGTTTGCAGTCTGTAGACCACATCTGCAGACCTCTGCAGTAGAAGAGATATACCAAACGTCTGCAGACTGCTAAAAGACTGTTTGTTTTTTTACGTTTGCGGACTGTTAAAATAAACTAAAATCTAAATAAACTGATTTATTTTAATCTTAAAAGAGTTTTTCAATATATTTACGGCTTTATTATAGATAATTAACAAAGCTAGACCAAATTTTATGTATTACTGTATAAAAAGTGAAAATAAAATAGTATGAGTTAACGTGTATATTTGATAAAAAATTAACAAGCTTTAGACGCAAAGTTATATATAAATATTGTAATTAAGGATCAAAGAATTTAACACATAAAATAGATGAAAATAAACTTCGCTTTTAAAATGAAAATTTTCATTTTATTTTTTCAATTTAATCAATTAAAAACTGACCATAAATATATTTTCCAAAAAAATGGATGATATTGTATTAAATAATGTTTTATAAAAATTAGCATTAAAAATACAAGAAAAAATTAAGATGTTTTTCATATCTATATAAACAGCTCCAACGATCATTATTATAATTAAATGTTTATTTATAAATTTGCCACAAAGGTTATGTTTGTGTCTTCAAACCTTTTTTTCTTGAAGTGTTGTATTTTTTCCAAATTGTTTATCATAAATAAAGTTTGAATAATCTAAGTTAAAAAAAAACAAAGATATATGTGTTTTTAGGTTAGAAGATGTTTGAAGAGGTTAGAAGATTTTGGTTCACATTTGCGCTAAAAATAGAACGTATGTATGTAGTCTTCAGAAAAACAAATAATCTGCAAAGACTAATGTATGTCGTGATTTGCACGGTGTAGACAGAAGAGGCAAAAGAAGATGCGCAAACAAAAAAAGACAACAACAATATCTAAGTAAAATAACATCAGGAAAAAATAAAAAGAATGATACCAAATATCAAGTACAAGGAAAAAAAAAAGTATATAGTGTCACACTCATAACTTAATGAGTTAATGATATGATAGAGTAAAAAGTAAATATATAAGGATCATTAGGGAAAATAACTTGATAGGGTAATTTCATTTTCGTCTTGTTCATGTTTAGGCAATTTCTGTTTTTTTATACATATTTGACCATTTAACTTGTTAAATTTGTTTATATATTATCATCATCACCTGCTATAGCATGTGACAATGGTAATATGTGAACACATTTAACAAGTTAAAAGGTCAAATATGTACAAAAAAAATTGTCTAAATATGAATATTTTCTTTTACAAATTTCTTAAGACTTTTATAATTTCTTACAATATTTTTATGATATTTTTTCCTATAGGTTTTTCTAATACAATGTTCTAAACTTTGCTTATAATTTTTTTTTTAACTTTTCTTATACTTTCATATAATTTTAATACAAGTGTTTTTAAACCAAATATTTTATAAATGTTTTAAATTTTTCTTACAAGTTTTTAACTTTTTTTTTTTACATTTTCATACAATTTTTTTATAACTTTCATACAATTATTTCTAAACTTTCTTTTACAATATTTTTAAAGTGTTTCAGAAATTTATATGACAATTTAATACTTTTTATAACATTTTAAAATATTTTCGTTAAATACTAGTTTAAAACGTTGTATTAAAAAAATTAAAAGTTTATAAACTTCTAACTAAAAAGTATTAAAAAGTTGTAATAATTTTAAAACATTTGCATTACTTATATTTTCTTGTTTTTTTATTTGCTACGTAATATTTTTTTTTATTTTTTTAAAAGACTCGTCATACTTATTATTATATATTTAATTTATTTAATTTTATTGTTAGATACGATTTACTTTAAAAATATTATATATGCTTAAAAACAAAAGAAAAAAAATATAAGAGTCTATATAAAATATTTTACAAAATAAAAACATGTTTATTAATTAAAAAAGTAAAGTTTAGAAGTGATCGATAATTAATTAATATTTAAGACATTATGTATATTTTAAAAATAACGTTTGGAAAAAATAATATTAACAAATATGAAAAATAAAATCACTATTAAAAATAGAGAAAATGAGTTATCATGGTAATTAACTTTTCGTTTTGTTCATATTTAAGCAATTTTATTTTTTTGTACATATTTAACCATTTAACTTGTTAAATGTGTTCACATATTACCATTGTCACCTGCTATATCCCGGTGACAATGATAATATGTAAACACATATAACAAATGAAATGGTTAAATGTGTACAAAAAAAATGTCTAAATATGAACAAAGTAGCAAAGATGATTACCCTGATAAGTCATTTTCCCTAATCATTATTGTTATTAACTTATTATAAAACTTATTATTTGAAAAATATGATGTCTTAGAAGACTATATACATGGTCCGATTTAGTGGTCGATATAAACTTGTTTATAAATTAATTAATTCGTAGAAGAGAAAGTACAAAATTAAAGAATTTTTTTATAACATTAAAGCTTGTATTCTAAATAAAAAAAAGTTTATAATCCAAAAACTATTTTAAATATAGTTTAGCTTTTATTTTTATATGTAATTTAATATCTTTAAAATCTTACAACTAGTTTGGGTGAATACTTATAGATAAGTAAAAAGGATAACTTATAACTTTCAATTAATAACTAGTTTTGTCAAACATATCTAAAACTTGGATATTTTTATCCGGAGATGTATGGTTCGATTAAAACCAAAGAGATCACCCACATTAAGCAAAATATTATTATGCTCGATGGGTTAGTTCTCCAAATATCGATTTTTTAGGATTGACTAAATTTTTGGTGTATGACTAAACCTAGTAAACGTGTTGACCATAACCTTATTTCATGTCATGTTCCCATGTCTATGGTTTAACCCTTGTAAATGTGACGTGGTGTCAAATTCACTTAACGAGTTTAAATCTCTTACTCAAACTCGTTCAGTTCGTGTCGGGTTTATGTCGAGTTAGCAAGTCATTTCAGCTTTTGTCGGCTCTATATATGGCTATATTTGAGGTTTTGGGGAAAATGGTCCTTTAGGTCTAACCGGAGATAGGCGTGTATAAAAAAATCAATCTAAATCAATCTCTAAAAAGGACCAATTGTGACATCCCCAATTTCACGGCCAGAAAATACCGATTTTGTTTATGTTTTATAATAATATCAGATTAACTTTTTAAAGAAAGTGTTGTGGAATTTGTTCCCATAAAAATACAGATAAGAATTTATCAAAGAATTTCCGAAGAAATGTATTTTCATTACATTACAAAACTCGGGATGTCATTATCAATACAGATCAAAAACATAAATAAAAAACAACATAGGCATTACAACATTTCTATTTATTACTATTGGCCTATAATCCATAATCTCTCATCAGATCATCGCATCTATGGTTTTCAAAAACTGAGTGGGTCAGGCTTGGGATCCTGGTGAGCACATATGGTTTTCAACCCACAATAAATAAGTATTATTTTCAACAATCATTCAACCCGATTACCCGTTCCCGTTATCCTCACTTTACGTCCCTAAAACATCTATCATAAGGGACATATCCTAAGGAATTTCATCGGGATGGACACTACTGCTAAGGGGATTCCTCAGCCATATATGTTTGTAAGTCAACCATGAGGGGGATAGAGTACACCAATGAACACATCGTTCACAAACACCTACAGGTTGCGAGCCTGCTAGCGTTCCACTTGACAGTCTAGAAAAGTCTGTGGTCATCATCCATACTCCGCTAGATGACTGGATCATCGTCAACTTCGAGGTCTCTCTTCATTTTATTTTATCACACATCAACTATTTCATCTACCCATGTTTTACCCAATATATTTGTAGATATAAAATACATATACATTTTAGATCTGAAAAAAAAAAGTTCAAATCTTTCATCCAGCACAAATCTCAAGATATAAAATACACATACAATTTAGA